ACCTGTCTTTTTGGTCTTTTATGGATGGAGACTTCATTACAGAGGCATGATTGATTAAATCACTGACCATTGGAGATTGGTTCAACCTCCAGCCCCTCCCTCTCCCCAGAGGTCAGGGAGTTGGACTCAAGTTCCAACCCTAAACTCCCAATTGGTTCCCCTGGCAACCAGCTCCCATCCTTAGGTGCTTTCCAAAAGACACCTCAATAATTTACAAAGGGCACCCTTAACATCCTCATCCCTTAGGAGCTCTGTGCCAGGAACCCAGAAGAAGGTCAAATAAATATGTCTTATAAAGTCACCGTCTCACACGTCGGTAGTAGGTACTTTCTTGAGAAGATACTTAGAGCAGAGGACAGGGCTCGTATGATGACTTGAGATGTGGGAGATGGACAGGTACCTTAGGGCTGAAGTAGGAAAGAGTAGGACACATATTTTCAGACATTTCTCCAGGATGTCTCCCAATCGCTGCCAACTCAGTATGTCTCATATGAAGAGTCCTGCTGATTTGGTGCAAAGCTGTATTGATCTCTCCCAATAATTTCCAGCCAAATCAGCAGGACTCTTTATGTAATGTGGGGATGACTCTTTAGTCCTCCCAGCGGTTCTAGAGCTGCCTAATGTCCTTGAATAAACTCCTTGTCTGCTTTAACTTGGACTTTTAAGAATGGATGACCTCAGAAAGCTGGACTTGACTACATACATGTGGCCAACTTTTGTATTGTTACATATTTAAGGATCTATACAAAGACCATAGCTTGGTAGTTGACTGTATCTGTGGGTTCTGCAGATATTTTTACTGCTGTCAAAGGGCTCAACATTTTTTCTAGAGTTTTGGCCCCTCTGATCTTCAATGAAAAGTCCTACCTCTGCAGACACCATTTTTCTAGATGTCTGAGGAAGGTCTCCCAAGTGTAGGGTTATGATGGTGAAAGGGCTTGAAGGGGCCAAGTTTGAGCCACTAGATCCCAAGCCCTGTAGATCTTAGATGGTTCTGTGTGTACGTGTGATTGAGGACTGCAGATCCTGAAGCTCTATCAACAGCTCCTGAAAAGACTCTCTGACAAGTCTCTAATTAGTAGCTTCTTCGTTCTTTCTTTTAGAAGTCTAGAAGAAATTAATAGAGTTAATTGAGAAGGTGCTTTCATTTGGATTCTGGCTAAAGTCAGAAAGGATCTAATTTTAGGGCTAATGATCATAGGAAATGACCTATAAAACAGCAATAATGTTATTAGAGGATGTTACCAGAAAAATAATCTCCTAAACAGAAATATGAAGATTCAAGATGTATGTGTGTTTATATTTACAGTGAGTTGAGTTTTATACAAGCTCCATTATATGCACGTAATAGGGGGCCTGGGGTGGCAGAAGTTTTTATTTAGAGGTGGAGCATATAAATATAAGAATTGAAGTATGTCTTGACTTTGGAACATGGTATATAATTCACTTACTCTTAAAAAAAATCCCGTGATTTAACAAAGGCTTCTCAGTTTGCAGAGCTTTGGTGGGAAATGGACATATTTGCATAAGGATCCTAAAAGCCTTCTGAGAGAGAAGGAAGTCAGGCACCAATTGCTTCCACCAAATGTTAAAATTAGGAAAACCTGCCCCTGTGCACTGTGGGCGCCCTGACCAAGGTGCAGTAACCCAAGAGGACACTAATCTTCCCAAAGGGGAAAGTGAAGTCTGTCAGTGATTTGAGCTCCTCACCATGGCCCCAAGTTAGGGTGAAACTATAAGTCTGAGTGCAGAAGATCTACAGGTAGGAGCCAGGAAACCAATGATCACGCCGGCTATGATAAAGAGCTTAAACATTCCGTGGTGCCTTTAGGGCACTGAAGAGTTTTAAGTAAGACCATGGCTTGGCTTTTGTATTAGAGAGTTCATTCCAGTGATCAATGTGGAAGACATATTTAAGAGAACAAGAATAGACTTGGGAGGCTGTTTACATGGTCCAGGGATGACAAATAGTGCCTGAATGAGCCAGTGACAGAAGGAAAAGATTCTAGTAGTAGGTCCAGTTGTCATGACTTGGTGAATGATTGGCTCAGGGGGGAACAGGGTTTAATTTGTTTTCTATTTGTGCTGTTTATTATTATCATAAGTAGTGGGTATTGGAATAAGTGGCCAATTATTCCCTTCTTGATTCCACTTCTTTCAGCTATTTGTCTCTAAAAAGAAAATTATGAAAATGGAGCTTTGATTAGCTTCACTTACTATTATAATGACTGGGGTTATCACTCCTAGTTTATTGAGTGGAGTCATTGTTTTAATTTGCATAAGTGGCTTTTGGGTAGGCAAAGATGCAATTAAAGTAAAAGCTCAATATCAATTAATATAGGAGAACAATTATTTAGATATGGCCATACATTAAAGAGAACAAATGTCTGACTCGAGAGTTTGCCAACATTTCCATTGTGTTCACTCTGGCTGCCAAAGACTGATGGAGGAAAACAAAGAAAAGGAGATGAAATATAGATGGGCTGAGCCAAATGGCACCTCTGCAGATGAGATGAATAGAGAGTTTGTCATTTTTTTTAACCAAAATATTTACTATTTGAAAGAACACATTTTTGTTGTAAAACAATAGCAACAACAACAATCACCTCAAACAATAAGATGGTGTTGATGTTAAAAATGAACAAATATCCCCCCCATCACAACTTTCTACTGGCCAGGGCGCAGGGGTAACCTCTATTAACAGATAGGTGGTGATTCTTCCAGGTTAAAAGTGTCCTTCAAGAGATTCTGTGCATTTTACAAGGTAGCCTTTGACCTATTTCCTGATCTGATGGAGTCTACTTGATAGTTTAGTTCATAGTTTTCTGGTTAGCAGAGATGCCATCATATGGGAGAGTAGACAATGGGAACAAGAGAGAGTGGACAGAAAGCCAGGAAAATAGGGTCAAGTGAAGGTTGAATACAAAAAACAGATGCTGGACATGAAACTAGGACAGGCTTAGGAACGAAGGCTAAGAAGTCCTTCTCTGACTTCATTTTCTTTCTCCAACTGAGCCCTCAAATCCCTTGCTGGTGAGTTGTCCCCCTGCTTTCTCCTAAAGTGTTCTCCCAAAGGTCACCCAGGAACCATTTGGTCATACACTTGATGACCTTCCCTCCACTTTTACCTTCCTTGGCCTTGATCCCTCTTTGACATGCCATCTGTGGTCTTCTTTGTGAATCTTCCCTTTCCTTGGCTCCCATGACAATAGGCTGTTCCAGTTCGTAAGCATCCCTGACCACTCCTGCCCTGATTGTCATCCTGACTGCTCCTCTTCTTCCAGTCCTTGAATTGTAGGCATCACCTCCAACTCTGCTCTTTTCGTGCTCCTCTTTCCTGTGCATTTCTCATTTCTTGCATGTTTAATTCATGTCTGTGACTTCATCAGTGATCTCTATGAGGGAGACTCTGAAATTTTACCAACACGGATAGAAATGAGGATATGACTCATTTCCTTGACCTTCCTGGAGTTCTGATCTCCCGTTTTCTGTTACCCTCTAGACATGTCCCATTTGTATTTCCAATTCAGCGTTTCTGAAACTGAACTTGTTTGCTTCCCATCTAGCAAACTCCTTATCATGGCCTCCAGGGGCCTTCCTGACCTCTCCCTATCTACCTGTCCAGTCTCATCTCTTGCTGCCACCCCCATAAGCACCCTTCTTCTCAGTCACACCTACCTAACTGCAGCTGCGTGACCATGTCATGTTCTCACGTGCCTCCATGCTATTAACTGTGTTCCCTCCACTGATATACCCCTTTCCTGGGCCTGGCTTTTTTCTTTCTTTCTTTTTTTCTTTCTTTTTCCCCTACCAACTCTTTTTAACCCTAAAAACCTCTCTCAGCTGTCACCTTCCATAGGAATACTTCCTTGAACTCCTGGAGGTGACACCTCTCTGCCGACTCCTGCGGCAGCCCCTGGAAACTTCTACTGTAGAACTTATCACACTGCAGTGTATGTGGCTGTTTCCTGGCTTCTGTTCCATCTAAACTGTGAGCCCTTTGAAGGGAAGAACCATGTCTTTGGTCTCTGCCCCTCCAGGTCTGAGAAAATGTCTCACACAAGTAAGTACTTAAGAAATCCTAGGAAAGCATGAGAACCATCGCCTCCCTCTTGGCTTCTCTGTTTGCTGATGGGAAAGTGATCTCAAACTTGTATCTCTAACTGTACCTCCCCCCTAACTCCAGAACCATGTCCTTTGCCACATCTCCTCTGGAATGACCAGCAGGTTTATCTGAGAGAGAGCAGGTGTTATGCAAAACTGTGGATTCCTTGGCCCACTATTCCCTCCTCAGTAAAGGCCCAGTTATTTGCCCAGGTGCTCAGAGCAAGAGCCTGAGACACATCCTTAATTCCTCTCTTTTTCTTCTACTCCACAGCAAACACAATAATATATTCTATAACCTTTATCTTACCACATATTGGGGATATGGCTGTTTTTCGACTTCTTTAACAATGTCACATTAGTCCCAGCCACCATCACCTCTCACCCAGACTCCTATAGTGCCTTCTCTCCGGTCCCTGTATGTCCACCCTTTCTTCTGTACAAATGGTACCTCCACACAGGAGCTTTCACACAGCTACCCTTCAGGGTTTGGCCTTTGGCTGGCCCTCCGGATTCACTTCCTACTCCCCATCCTTGTGGACTCTGCTGCACCCACATGGACTCCTTGTGGGTCCTGAACACACCAGACAGGTGCCCACTTCCCCTTCCCATTCTTTCTGTCCCAAACACTATCCTGCCAGAACTCGGTGTGGATCATTCCCTTTCTCCCTCCGGTTTCTGCTCAGAAGTCACCTCCACATAGAAGACTTCTCTGATGGCACTGTCTTTCTTTTTATTTTATTTTTAATATATATTTTTATTGATTTCAGAGGGAGAGAGAGAGAGAGAGAGAGAGAGAGAGAGAGAGAGAGAGAGAGAGAAACATCAGTGATGAGAGAGAATTATTGATCAGCTGCCTCCTACATGTGGGGATCAAGTCCGCAACCAGAGCTTGTGCCTTGACCAGGAATTGAACCTTGACCACCTAGGTTATAGTTCAATGCTCAACCACTGAGCCACACTGGCCCAGCTGTAGGCATTTCCTATAAAAGCACCTCCCTGAACTGCTAGTCTCTTCCCCTGATTGTTTTCCTTTCCCCCTTGATATTTTACATTTATTTATATATCTATTGATGTCCTCTTCTCAAGAGTATAGAAGCTCCCTAAGGTCTTTGTCAACCTCATTGCTGCAGCCTGGCATCTGGAACAGTTCCTGGGACTAGAGCAGGGCCTCAATGGTTGATGAATGAATGGATTATTCTAGATCTTGGAGGTGGTGTGTCATCTCTGAGTCCCCACTTGTCTCCCTGCCTGTGTGTGGTCACCAAGTCTTCAGTCTTCCTAGTGCTAGTTCAGTGAACATTTATTGTGCAAACTATCTTACTGTGCTTATTATTGAGCTACTTACTTCCCACAGTGGCTGTATCGAATGAGGGAGTGAATGTGACAAGACCGTTGTACACTCTCAAGCCCCACACCAATGTCATTTTTCTTCCAGTCCCACTGTGATGACACTAACTAATGTTCCTTTTGCTTCAAACAGGAGCCTCTAAATGATTCCCTGCTTCCAAGCTCTCCCCAGATAATAGATTCCAAACGCTGCTGCCCACTTACTAGTAATCTTCTAAAGCATCGCTACAATTATGCTCTCCTACTCAAAACCTTGACTGCCTTTCAATTCCTGACCACATAGTGTACAAATTCCCTGGCTTGGAACAAGATCCTCCCCAACTTGGATCCAGACTGCCTTTTCTTGTCTCCCTTTCTCCCCCACCAGAGCTCTCAACCTTAAATCCAGACCTCAGAGCAAGTGAGCATCACACTGCTGTCCTCCCTAGGTTTTTCCACTTCTAGGGGCTCTTCCTCTTCTCTCTTCTCTTAATGGCATTAAGGTCTTTCTCTTGAGGGGGTATTCTTACCCCCATCCTACCTTTCCTTAAAGGGGGAAGGGAGGAAGAAGATGCAAGGAACACTTTAATTGTCTCTCTCTCCTCTTTCCATTCAGATTGGGAAGGCAGGGAAAGTGTGATCTCTGTTTGTCCAAGCTTCTCTGACTGCGTGTCCCTCCCTTTAAAACAGGCCGTGTAGTTCTGTCTCTGGGATCTGCCTGCCAACAATAAGCATGTATTCACCTTGGGAAGGCAGGGTTCCCAAGGCAGGCTTAGCTTGCCTGGCCGAGCCAGTAGTCAGGGGAGATCGTGGGAAACCTACATTTGCTCCAGGATAAGCTATGTTGTCCAATCCAGCCTTTCTGCATTTTAAGGCTGAGGTTCTGGTCTCCGTGCATCTGACTCTATATTTTACCTCGTGCTGAACTCTGAAGAGAAGGAGCAATTAATTGCTACTCTCCCTTAAATTCAAATATCACCCAGATGACCCTTTTTACCAACTGCTCTACAATATCGATTTTTATAATGTCTATTCAGATTTGTAATCTACCATCATAAGCATATAGGAAGAAGAGGCACTGTTATATACTATCCTTCTTCCTAAATCCCTTTAGAACTCAGGTTCATGGGTTAGTGTTCATTTGCATGGAGGCCATAATGGGCTAATACATTTGATAGTAAGAAAAAAAAAGTAAAAATAAAGTAGATATGATGAGAAATGGGATGTTTCCCATTTCTTAGAATTTTGGCTGAAGCTCGGAAGCTAGTTACCACGTAGGACAAATTCCCCACAAATGAAGAGGGGGATGTGGGGGGAGGGGGTTGCCTAGGGTAGCTGGCGTTTTCCAACAAGAAAAAGACAGTGTTGCTGTTTTACCATCTGGGTGGGCTCTGTTGGTGCCCGCGATCTGAAGCAGCTACGTAACTAGAGTAGAGAGAGAATATGTTTTGTTCTGCCGTTTACATCTCACCCTAAACTCATGAACAAGGGTTGGTTTTCTTGAAAGTAATGGTAAGTCCATGAACTGGGTCAAAGAGCAGACCTGGGAGCTGGGCGCGAGGAGAAGGGTGCTAGTTGTGTATCACGGGTTTATAAAAGGCGGTCTGTTTTCGGAAATATGCGCAATTACATCAGCCCTGGCTGTTGCTGCTCCTGATAATGCACCATTAGTCATCTTTCTTCCCACAAATCCTCATCACGTGAGCTCAAGAGATTCAATGCTGAATTTCAAATCCACTTCAGGGATATTTTCACAACTCGTGTGTTAGAAGCCTGGCATCATTTGAATAAAAGTCACTTGTTTGAAGATCAGTGGGAAAGTTGGGGAATAAACAAGCTCCTGGTCATTGATTATGTTTTAAAAGTGTTACCAATGAATTGAGCCTTAACGTTCCTTGTGTAACTCTTAAACTATATTGCTATACTAGGTACCATGAAAATTCGATGGACTCGGGAGTTTAGAGGTTGGAAATTCTAGTTGGTGAGGGTAAATGATGAAGCTATGGCAAATGTTTATGTCCCTTTCCAAGTGAAAGAAGTTTGAAAAGGCTGCATAAGCTGATGAACACAAATGACGTCCACTATCTACCTACTAAAGCTAAAGCACTTTTTATACAATGTATTAGAGGCCTGATGCACAAAATTTGTGCAAGAGTAGGCCTTCCTTCCCCCGGCTGCCGGCACTGGCTTCCCTCTGGCACTGGGACCTGGGCTTCCCTCACAGCCCCAGCTTCGTCCAGAAGGTCGTCTGGAAGGATGTCTGGTCTAATTAATATTATGCTTTTATTATTATAGATTAGCCAGGGTTCCCCAGAGAAATAAAAACAACAGGATGTCTCTATTTCCATGTCTATCTATTATTTGTATCTATCTTGAAGTCTGTCTATCTATCATCTATCTATCATTTATTGATATATTTTAAAGAATCGGCTTACACAATTATGGAGGCTTGGTGAGTCCAAAATCTTCAGGGTATACCAGCAGGCTGGAGACCAAGGGAAGGGTTGTAATTCAAGTCCAAAGTCAGTCTGCTGGCTGGATTCCTTCTTGCATGGGTGGGGTCAGTCTTTTTCTATTCAGGACTTCGACTGATTGAATGAGGCCCACCAACATTATGGAGGGCCATCTACTTTACCCACTGTCCACCAATTTATGTTAATCTCATCCAAAAAGCACCTTTGCAGAAACATCTAGAATAATGTTTGACCAAATATCTGGGCACTGTAGCCCATAAAATTGACACATAAAATTAACCATCACATAAGATAATGTGAAGAGCTATTAATTTTTGGTTGTTATTTGTCTTTTTCAAGAGAAAGCTACCAAGATGGCAAAATTACTGCTATTTGGGGAATAGCCACAGATTGAGATGTTAAACTGGAAAGGAGAAGACTTAGGGACATATAATACTACAAAGATATTGGCACCATCCAGAGATATATAATGTGTGTATAAGGTTATATTTCCTCTGCCTTTCAAAATACTCCAATGCCTGCATGGGAAAGTCAGAGAGCACAACCAGGATTCTCAGAGGAGACACATTTTGACTCAAGACTGCACCATCAGGAACTGTGACTTCTGACCACAGTGGGTCCTGAACCGACTCACTACTGCCCTCCTGTGGTGAGTGTCAAACTTTTTTCTCTCAAGTCCCAACTTGCCTGGTCCACTTTACCGCACAGAGACAAGGTCACCAAATCAGCAGCCTCCCCCTCATAACACCTCTTCCCTTTCTATCTCAATGAATAGGTTTCCTGGATTTTACCCAAACCAGATTCCCTGCTCTGTGTCAGCCCTATCCTTTCCACCTTCTCCAGGTCCCGGCTCAGGTGAAAAAAATAACTCCTTACAAATAAATATGTGATGTGCTATGCACTTAATATCTTATGGCAATTAAGATTTTTAACCCTGATGTCTGCTATGGCAAGCTTACGGCTGACAGGATTTTATGTAAACCCTATGTTATGCATTTATTTACCAAAGTTACTTTGATGTCTTTGGACATGTGCAGGAGTGAGGATAATGGAGAGAAAGGCAGATGTACAAAAAGGCAGAGCAAAATGTGAAGTGCGTGTAGGTGGAGAGACTGAGAGTTCCTTGCTCTTTGTATCGAGTACTCAAGATACATTAGTGCACATGGGGCATGGTGACCAGAATCACCCACAAACCGGGCATTAAATGCACAGACAACAGCTATGTGGTAGGCAGTTAGACAGACATGAACAGAGTAGGAACAATAGGCCAGCTACGGAAGGTCACCAGGGCAGAAAGCCCTGGGTACCTAGCAACGAGCAAAACTGGGAAAACAAGGACCTTGCCCCCAGGGTGACCTTTCCTTCCTAGCTTATCGGTGGTCATGTGGTTTAGATCCCATGACCTTTCATGCCACTGGTCATGTGGTTCGGACCCCCCTCCCCGCCCTTTCCTGCCCTGGCATGCCACTAGTCATGCAGTTTATTTTATTTTTTTAAAGATTTTTATTGATTCAGAGAGGAAGTGGGATGGAGAGAGAGATAGAAACATCAATGATGAGAGAGAATCATTGATCGGCTGACTCCTGCACACCCCACACTGGGGATCAAGCCCGCAACCCAAGCATGTGCCCTGACCGGGAATCGAACTGTGACCTTCGGGTTCATAGGTCAACACTTAACCACTGAGCCACGCTGGCTGGGCTAGTCATGCAGTTTAGACCCCTCCTTAAAGGCAGAACCAGGGGGTCTGAGAATAGCCTCATATGACTCCCATATAAGCCCTTGCAGGACAATCCCCTTAATTAAGCATGAAGTCCTCCGGACAATGAGGTTCTGGCCAGCACCAAATAATCTCAAGAACAAAGCTTTGAGTCTGCTGGCCACAGAGGCATCCTTTTCCGCCACACATTCATACCTTCTGATTTTTGTATGAAACAGCTCAAATGTAGATATGAGCAAATCTTAACACACACACACACACACACACACACACACACACACACAGTCTTCAGGCCAAGCAACACATGGTCATGTCCTGAAATTTTGTAACCTGTGGCCTTCAATATCTCAGTTGCATTGCTGTGTTTCTCTAGAGTTACAATTTTGACTTTCTTTTCTAGATCACTAAGTGCCAAATAAACTTCAAGATCTGATTTTGAGGAAGACTTCGTTATTCCTGGTTGTTGGTATCTACTGAAATCTCTCTTTGCTTAGAGGTGAGTTTTCATTTTGTTTAGCTAGCTGTTGATGAAGAAAAGATGTCTTAAAAATTCCAACCCTTCTATCCATTATTCTTTTATCTCAAAAATTTCTACTTAACATAGAAGGTGTGAATGTGTGGAGAAAAGGATGCCTCTGATAGATCCACTGTCCTTTAAAGCTAAGCGGAAATAGCCCTAAACTTCTTTCAATGGTTTTGAATCTTTGTGAGGCTGACATTTGTTATAAATGTAGCTTTTCAGTTTTATTTATCTAGAAATATCATTATTTGTTAATACATGCTGCCACCTAGTGGAACAGCTGAAGGGCTGTATCAGGGATTCAGACTTGGCTTTGTACCTGAATTTCGGTGTTAGGCTTCGTCCAAATTATGTAACACTAGAGGCCCGGTGCACGGATTCTGCACATTGAAAGTAAATTAATTAGAAGGTGACCAGCGGGGCAGGGCTGGGCCAGACAGGCCAGACACCCTAGAGCCAACCTCCTGCGGTCCCTCCCTGGCCTGCCACACTTGGGGAAGCGCTGGGGCTCTAAGGGTGTCTGTGGAGTGAGCAGGGTCCCTTCAGCAGGTGGGGTCCCTCGGCCTGGCCTGTGGGGATTGGGCCGAAACCAGCAGTCTGACATCCCCTGAGGGGTCCTGTAGTGTGAGAGGGCACTCTGCAAAGTTGTTGTCGCTTGGCAGCTCCTGCATTGAGTGTCTGCCTCCTGGTGGTCATTGCGTATCATAGCTACCAGTCGGACAGTCACTTAGCCTTTTATATATATAGATGCTTTTTAGTCTTTAAAAAAAACAACACAGATTAAGAGCTATGTAGTTAGACTTTTTTTTTTTTTTGACACAGCACACTTTTTCTTTTTGCCAAAGTTTCTTTATTAAGAGAGATATCAGTTTTAATCTAAACAATTGATAATGCTCTCGAAGACTGTTGTGAATTACTAGCCACCTCTTGTAAAGGGTGTCCCAAAATTCATGCAAGATTTGAATTTTACGCCATTTGTGCCATAAAGTGTTGCCAAAGAAAAAAAGATAGCATGACAGCTGACAGTTCAGGGTTATTAAAAATGGAGTGCTACATGAAAGAAAAACATGTTTTCATTGTTGAGCAATATTTTAAAAATAATGAAGGTTTGGCAGCTACAGTTCGCAATTTTCGTGCAAAATATGGTCGGAATAGTGATTTAACTTCATCAACTATGAAGAGATTAATTTTAAAATTTAGGGAGACTGGATCAATTAGTGATCTTAAACACCCTGGCCGTCCTTCAATAAGTCGTTCAACACAAAACATTGAAGCAGTTCGTGAGAGTGTTGCTGAGAGTCCAGGGACATCAATTCGGCACCGTGGTCAAGAATTGGACATTTCAAAAAGCTCTCCACAGCGTATTCTCATGAAAGGTTTGCATCTTCATGCTTACAAAGTTCAATTGACTCAAGAACTGAAGCCTACTGACCACGCACAGCAAATAGAGTTCGTTGAATGGATTATGGAACAACAACAAGTGGATGCTGATATTTCAAACAAAATCATCTTCAGCGATGAGGCTCATTTTCATCTTGATGGCTTGGTTAATCAACAAAATTGTCGCATTTGGGGTTCAGAAAATCCATGAGTGATTGTTGAGAAACAAATGCATCCACAACATGTCACTGTTTGGTGCGGATTTTGGGCTGGAGGCATCATTGGACCATTCTTCTTCGAAAATGCGGCTGCTCAGGCAATAACAGTTAATGGTGCTCGCTATCGCAACATGATAATCCATTTACCTGATATGCTATTCCATACATAACCCTATACTGTATACTTTATGAATTAATAAAAAAATTTACAATTTTTAATTATAAACCTTTGTTTTCTATCAAAATTACTTCTTGCGTGAATTTTGGGACACCCTTTATATTTGCCATGACTGGGTTTGGTGTTGCTGGGTGGGAGGGATGACTTGCAAACTGATGTGTAATCATTTCCTAGTACAGGATGCAACCTGGCGTAGCTGTTATCATCCACTATTTCAAGGCCACCTGTCTACTCTTCACTATATAAACCATTCCAAATGCTAAGATTTATAGAATATAAAAATGGGAGTCACTGTGAGGACTGTATCAATGGAGAAATGAAACCAAACTGACAGCTAGCTTAAAGCCATCATCTGTCACATGTAAACCGAGCCAGGAATTTTATCTTTTACAGTGAAATTGCCTTAGGGCCAATTCATTGTGCAGTGAAAATGCTTGCAGAGAAAATGCTTGAGGCAAAGATGTTTACAGCAAAAATGTTTATGGTGAATATACCTAGTACCGGTTCTCAGAAGGCTTGGGAATGACACCTCACATAATTCCAGTGCTTGCTGGTGTCAGGCTCTCCTTCATTCTCCTAGCATCCCTGGGAGGATTGTATTCTCACTCTCCCCATTTTACTTGTCAGCAACTTGCCCAAGGACATCTATGAAGTGGAGGAAGTGAGGCTTCAAACCCATGTGGTATGGGTTCGGAGCTTGGTTCTTCACCCCTGCCTCCATGGCTTCTGATGACGTCATCTACTCACAGGACAGTTCCAAACTGAAATTGGCCACAGCCGTCTTTAGAAATAGCCCCAAGGTACCAGACAATCATGACCTTCTTTATTCCCCCCTCCACTGAGTGCCATGTAGATCTAGCTCAAGATTTCTTAGGAGAGATGTATCAGTTAGGGTTTCCTTTTGGAAAGCCACCAAAACAACTGTGGCTAAGATCATACGAAGGAGGAGTTTGTTAGAGGGATGTTGAGAGGATGGGGAATGAGAGGAGAGCTGGAGAACCTGGCTGAAAAATAGGATGGGAAGTCTCACCGAGATGCCTGGTATGGGTGGATATGCTTCAGAAATGCCTCAAAACTCAGGGCACTGCTTGCTGCTGGAACAAGGGACTCTATTTTGTATGAGTCTTGAGACAATGAGTCTGATTGTCCAAGCTCAGGGCTGTACAGAATGGGGAGAGAAAGGTTTTAACGAAAGGAGACTTTGGGTCCTTCTACCTGGAGATAGAAAGTGTGGGCCTGGTTGGTGTGGCTCAGTGGTTGAGCATCGATCTATGAATCAGGAGGTCATGGTTCAATTTGGATCAGGGCACATGCCCGGGTTGGAGGCTTGACCCCCAGTAGGGGGCATGCAGGAGGCAGCCTATCAATGATGCTTTCATCATTGACATTTCTATCTCTCTCCCTTCCTCTCTGAAATTTAAAAAAATATATATATTTAAAGTGTGGGACTTCAGTAGTGGGAGGAAGGACCTCATATTTACTATTTATTGAATGGAATGGGCAAGAGGTGAGTATGAGCGGGGAGAAAGAGGGAGCGAGAAGAAAAGGGAGTGGAAGACAATTAGAACAAGTAGGTGGTAAGGTAGGCTTCAAACTTGGGTAATGGAAGAGAGACTGGGGAGAAGAAAGGGTTTAAGAGGATGACTTACCAGCAGTTTCCTTTTTCTTTGTCCCCCCTCCCCTCCCTTATTCTCCAGGTTCTGAGCCATCACATCCTGCCTGAGTATATTTGGGTGGGTCTGAGAATTAAAGATTGTCTATTTCCAAGTCTATCTTCTGGCCTGAAGACCCTCTCTTCAGAATGCTGACCTCTCCCCTCAAGTCCTAAATCTCATCTTAGCATCATTTTGTTCCCAGTGTTTTTAATCCAACGTTATTTTTCTTCTAATACAGAGCAGCAAGTAGGGCCCATCTTTTTAATGTAATTTCAGAAGTGGACCATTCCCCTTGATTACAAGCAAAACCAAACCTAATATTACTTTGGACTTATGTTACTGTTAATATTATTTACTTTCCAAAAACAGACTAACCCCCAATTAGCATTGTGAATTGTCTGCCCTGTAATGACCAGAGAGCCCATTCTATTACATTACTGAAATCATTTGCATAGTAATTATGGTTTAGCTCTATTGGTAATTGGAATGGCTTCCCTCTGGTAATGTACAATGGGCTCTCATTCATCACATGGAACCTGGCCAGACGGCAGAATTGAGGAAGGGCACTCCCACTAAACCCACGGTCATTTTAGGTTCCAAACCAGCATCTCACTTTGCTCCATCCTCATCCCTCTAATGTTTCTTAGTTTCTAAACCACTTGTGCAACAGAAAAACAATCTAAACTGCAACTGTGATTGGTCTAGGGAAATTGTATTTAAAAATTCAGCAGTGTGAATTACCCATCTTGTCCCCCTCCCCTCTCTGCATTGCTCCCTCCTCCAACATGATAAATGATGTCTAAAAGGAAATGTCACAAGCTATCAGGCAATTCAGACCTCTCTCTCTCTCTCTCTCTCTCTCTCTCTCTCTCTCTCTCTCTCTCTTTCTCATCTGCTTTAAGTAAACTAGATGTAGTGCAGAGAGTTTGCATAAGAAGAATAAGAAGACACAACAAAACTAGAGACTTAGCCTTTGCCTTACAAAAGGAGTCTTTTAAAAAAATGTCTTTGAATCCCAAGTGCTCCTACTTCAATTAAAATATTATTTAATCTCTAAAGCTTTAATTTTCAAAGAAAGATGAATAAAACAATCTAAATCCATGTACACACACATGCGTGTGCACACATGCACATACACTCACATATACATACAACATCAACAAAAGAGCACCTAAGGCAAAATGGAAAGAATGCAGGATCCAGGTAGAGGTGGCCTATTCCTGACTATGATTGCATCTACGTCATTCTATCTTACCTGAGCACTAGTTTCCAGAGCTGTGAAATGGCAATAACAACAACTTATCAGTTTTAGTTGGGTTACAGGTTGGATAACTGTAGCAGAGACCGCCCCAAAACTGTGTCTTGGACAAGACATAAGGATATTATGCCCCTCATATACCAGCAAAGCCAGGGACCCAGGCTCCCTCCATCTTGTTGCTCCCCATCCCTGGGTATGGGGAGAACCTTTGTCCATGAGACCCAGGAAAAGCCACCACCACATCCATATTCCAGTCGATAGGAAAGGGGAGGTGAGGGTGCACCCCTAGCTTTTAACAGCTTCCTGGAAGCTGCATAGGTCACTTCTGTTTGCATCTATTGGATGTGACATCTAGCTGCAAGGGAGGCTGGGCATCACAACTTTACTTTGGTTATCCATATGCTCATTTAAAACTAGAGAGAATTCTGCTATTAAGGGAGAAGGAGGATGAGATATTGGGGATGACTAGCAGACTGTCACCCTTGCCACATTGTGGTGAAAAGTTAGAGGAGGAGGAAGTGGTGGCACTAGATTCTTTTTTTTAAAATTCTACATCTGAGAGGAGGTAGTGTTTTCTTTCTTTTTAAAAAACAATACATTTTTATTGATTCAGAGAGGAAGAGAGAGGAAGAGAGAGAGATGGAAACATCAATGATGAGAGAGAATCACTTTTCAGCTGCCTCCTGCATGTTCCCTACTGGAGATTGAGCCCACAACTTGGGCATGTGCTCTTGACCAGAATCGAACCTAGGACTCTTCAGTCCACAGTCCGACACTCTATCCGCTGAGTCAAACCAGCTAGGATACACTCTATTCTTTTGTATTTTGTTTTTAGTTGGGACATTAGAACATATCCCAGAAGCCTCCTTCAATCCCAGAAGACTTCTAATCACACACCAGCACATTGTCACATGGCTACAGCAAGCTGCG